ACTACTATTCCTACTTAGCGGTTTTTCACTTATCGCGGGTCTTCAGGGTATGGATCCACCATGATAAATGAGGGACTACTTTATTGCAAAACTAATGGGTTATGCAAGATTTTAAAGTAGCATTTGAATTGCGACAAAACTTATGAGTGGAGTTGTTATATGACACCAGTAATCACTTTGGTTTCTGCTCCGCTAAAACTAGTTGGTAGTTCATCAATATGGTCAGAATTAAGCTCATTTTCTTCAAACTGAGTCCATTTAAAAATATATCAATAACAGGTAAGATGTTAATTGTTCACAACCTTTCTGTAAACCCCCAATTTTAAAGATCACAACTATGCCTTAAACATGAAATGAAAGTAGGAGCTACAATGATTAAAAAAAATGGAGTCTGCCAGTCTCCCTTTTGTGCTGTCGTTGAACTAAAACATAATCCACAGCATGCAAAACACATTAAACAGATACTTTGAAGAGTCTGGTGGCTGACACAGAGTAGAAAGCTGAGCCTTTTGCAGAACTGACAAACCAAACAAATTGGCAAATTCAAAGGAGCATGAGCATGAGATGTGTGCATCTTTATCTCCTCCTCCATGTACACAGATTGTCTTGTCCTTCAATAATTGCTGCAACAGAATTACATAGATGCAAATCTTGAAAACAGACAGGTTTTTCAGTGGTTTTAGTCAGTCATGACTTTCATGGTCTCCTACTTAATCAAAATCTCGTCACTTATTTGGCAAAGAATGACAGGGTTGTGTTTTAAGGCTCAACAAGTGGTAAAACACGACTTGGGACGCCTTCCTTAAGACTTCGATGCTCATATTGTTTTAGTTTGCTCTCAACTAACTGTAAGGTTTTGATGGACCAGCAAAAAACCACAAACATGCAAACAAAACAAAGCGCATGAGAGGTGGAACATGATCCCCTCATGTCATAATACAATCAGTGAGGACCAAAAGGCTTCCAGCCTCATTCATTTTGTCAAAGTATACTGGAGAACAACACAGCAATGATGTTTATCCCCCCCCCCCCCCCCCTTCTTATTTTCTTGCATGAAATAGAACTCGTGTTTTTTATTTTGGCAAGAGGAGCCTGCCAGTCTTTAGATACATAAGACATTTAAAGAATAATATTAGTCGCACAACATCTGGAAGAAGGTAACTGGCGGACAATATTGTCCATTAAGCAAAGACAACTCTGGATTTTTTTTTTAACTCCAGCCATTTGTCCATGACACTTAATATTTTGTCTTCAAAAAATGCGACATGCAGTGAGCTGTGACTTTATAACCCACTCATGAGGTGAAGAGGCACAGCCTCACAGGCCTAGAATATGACCAAACAGGGCATATCATGATTTAAATAAACAAACAGACATATCACTAATAAGGATACAGCTTGGATTTGAATAGATGAGATCATGAGCAAATATGTAAAAATGATGATTTTGAGCGATGGCATCACATCTCTGTAAAAAGAAGATCCAACAGGATGAGTTCATTTTGCGAGGACTGTGTCGTGGCAGCAGTGGTGATGGTGACACTGAGGTTTGCTGTGGAAAATGTCCATGCAGTGATAGCCCTTGGTTCTTTATGGGACAAAGTTTTTTTTTTTTTTTAGATAAATCAATGAAAACTTGGAGCAAGTAGGCCCATTTTTTGTTGATAGGTGGTCCAGGGTCTGCTGATCAAAGTTGGGTTTGTTTCAGTAACAACAACAAAAAGGCATGAGGTGGCCAAGCTGATGAAAAGCAGCTTGTCTCTCCAGAGGTGACAATCCCTGTGAACTAAAATCCCCAGGAAAGAGTTGAGTATGAACCCTGGTGATCAGTCTTACAGTATGTGAAAATACTGAAACAAAGTGTCAAGATGCAGTTTTATCATGTAGAGGTCAAAGAGGTTGTACAAGGTGGACAAGTGAGGATGTCTGCTGTCGTCCTCAGTTTAGGGAATGGTGCCCGCTTTTGTCTAACATAAAACTCTTTTTAATGGTCCCTTTTTAAGGCAAACCAGTTGGACAAAAACAAGTGGCATTACACAGACAAATCTTGAAAATAAAAAGGTAAATAATTATACAATATACACAAGATGTGGTCCTTCAAACAGGTAAGGTACATGCAGTTTTTTTATGTGCAGTGTTCCCGCAATCGAGGAGAAGAAATGATTCAGAGGGAGGAAAGCAGTCAGGGTGTATGAAAGTGTAAGTGAAGTGAGAGGTAGGGAATAAACATGTTGTTCCAATCATGCTTTGCCACATTTTCCCTTCTTCTCTTTGCGTTGGAACTTCCTCAGACGTCTTGTCCAAATGTCCCTCCACTGGATTACCAGGCTGTTCTTGTCAGCCACCAGTCCTATGCGCTCTGGTCCTGGACTGGAAGCTCCGCCTCCAGGCCCGACTCCTGGACCTCCAATTGGCCCTTTTCCTCCTTCAATGCCACCCATTACCAAGAATCTCCTGCTCATCTGGATTTTGGGACATTTACAGGCCAGGTCTTTCATGTGCACCCATAGGAAGTTGTCACCTCGCTTCAGGGGTTCGCCTCGACTTTTGTACACAGACACCACACTGATGGAGAACTTGGCCCAGTCCCCAACTGTCTCCATGTCCAGCACGTTCACTTGGACCGCTACGTACAGAACGAAGTAATTAATTAAATTCTACCAACACAACACATATTAAATATGGATTGATTATACTTACCATAATCCTTCTTGCAATATTTCTTCATATTGATCTTTAAGTTGCCTTTTACTGGTTTGCAATACGATTCACAATCTGCAAATATAAATAAAAACAAGAACAAGCATTTAATTTTGTAACACTGTAGCTTTTAATATTCAAAACAACTTGCTGCAAAATTATTGAAATGATCAGTTATAATGGAAAGTTAGTGTGAAAAAATACAATAAACCATTACGATTCATGAAACCACCAATGAACAAACCCAATAACATAAGCATAAATCACCCGTGTGCCTGTTTCTGTGGATGTAGATGGCTTTTTTTTTTAAGTATGGAGGTATTGCATCTTTTCCTATGTTTTATAAAATGTGTGTAAATGATGCATAGCGAGTGAGTATGAATTCACAGACAAGCTCAATGACTCCAAGATAAACTGGTTGGGTAATGTCAAGTTTGCTTTTTGTGCGCTAAAACACAGCTTCTGACAAATAACTGACACATACCAGTGAGGCAAAAGTGTTCAGTTTGACATGTTTTGAGGTTTTGAGAAAAGACAGAGTCTGGTGGAAGCAGGTCATGGTTGGATGAATATTGACTAGGCTTTTGCTGCCAGAGTGATGACTGAGACCACACAGTGGGCCTGATGACCTCTTCTGACCAGTCTTGGTTGGTTTGCCAGTAATGAGGTGTTATATTTATAATTGTCACAGTGGAGGTTGATGCCTTGGCTGATCTCAGGTCACTTCTTGACTAAGGCTGGTGCAAGTATAATTGTTTTTTTGATGTGTATTCACGAGCGTCTTATTGAAGCAAAACCCTTTCCCCTATATTTTACCAACTTCAGGCAACTACATACCTTACTCCATTTTAATGCATTTGATTTAAATATTGACATCCAATTTTAAAATAAGATTGGCAAAATATATTAAATGCAATTTATTTATTAACTGTAATGACTGCATACACCATATTCCCATATCTAAAAGTTGTTTCGATGAGCTCATTTATAAATAGAGCAGTTCAAAGTCTAAGGAGCACATGCATATAATAATGACTTGTTTTATTGAAATTCTAAAATGTTAATTTTATTATTACATTAACTACTTTGATTCTTTGTGTGATTGTAAAGTACATATTAACAACTTAAAAGTGAAACAAGAATTATAAGTAAAAGACAATGACAAGAAGAAGAGAACGTGTTGCATTCTTAAATTATGCAATAATTTCAAATTGTTGAATTGTGACAAAGAAAAGGCACTGGTGGTCATTTGTGATGCTCTCTTTTTATCTGGATGTTACTGGACTCAGAAAAATATAGAAATTCAATTTTATTTTTTCAAGTGTTGACATGAAGGAGAGTGGAAGTATGAAAAAATGGACCCAAATGCAGGTAAAAACTTGGATGCAGGCATTTGTAAATATAAAACTCCTATTCTAAAGCCAAACTGAACACACTGGTTGAGGAACAAAAACGACAAGGAGCTGACAAAGAATAATAGAACACCTGGTATAATATATACTGAAGGATAAAATGACTAATGGGTTGCAGGTGTCAAAACTAGTAAACAGGACCAGGTGTGCAAGATAGCATAACTAAAACAACAAAAGAACCATCTGTTGAATGAAATAAACAAAACCAAGATGATGTTTTCAAAACCCCACAGTAAACAAGTTGTCAAATTAAGCAATCCAAATTTACCAAGACCAACTGAAAAACATAACCCAAGACAAACTAAAAATGAAACGAGAACAAACAAATAATCCTTTGATAAACTTTAAAACTATAATCTGAAATTGTAGATTGAAACAATTGGGGAAAAACAATGAGAATTTGGGAAAAACATATCAAAATGATAAATATCAAATTTACAGCATGCCAGAAGGGTCATTTCCAACATGTCAGCTTTAGCCAGGATACAAGAAACACTCACCATGGAATGTCAGGGCATGAAAGTGAAAAAACACATGCTGGTAACAAGAACTGGTATTTGCAGTCTGGCTTCACATCTTCAAAATGGGTCAAGCTTACATGGAGACGTTTGAACCTAGACTTTTCAAAATGCTTTACATTGTAAATTTCATTCAACTTTATAACAAACATTTATACAATGTTTCTGGTATGTATGTGCATTCCATTTATTCAGCACTTTCTTCATTCCATCACATACTGATAAGTATGTTGGGGCCAACTGAGAAATTCAATATCTAACCCCAAAACACTTTAACATGCGTCAAGGCTGGAGATCAACCCAGCCAAGAAAAAGAGGACCACCCTATCAATGAGTAATCAATACCAGGCCAAACCTTATCAAAGCTAAGACAACCATGTAACTTTCATAAGTAAGCCAAATGAAACCATTGAACATAAAATCCTAAGGAAAAAAATCTGTTTCCAGTGAAAAAAAATTGGATTTTAGGGAACCTTGAATAAGGGTGTTCCCCTGACCACTTGTGAGGGAATGGCTGAGTAGGAGGAAGAAACAGAGGACCAGAGAGCCTATAAAATTGTCATGGAGACTTGGCTGTGTATTTGAATGCTGGAGGTTTTATTAGCCAGAGAGAAGACAGAAAAGGAAAGATTCAGAGTAACTAAATCAGACTGCAGTGTTAAAAAAGGGAAAGTATACACATAGACATGTTTGTGATAGGCCAGGACATTCCTCAGTATGTTAAGTCTACCCATATAATATTTTCCCCATTATTATTTCAGATCAACACATTGGTTCAATGAAAATTGTATACATGTGCTACTTTGTATATCAAAGTCACATAGTTCTTTGACCATTCCATTTACCATTGACGTTGATTTAAGTAGGGTTATGTCATCAGTGGTGAAATGCTGGTTCCTAAACTGTGTTTCCCCATCAAAACTAGTTTACTGCTAGATCTTCACCTGGCAAAGCTTGTGGTAAATCACCCACTGACCCAGAAAACCACCCCATTGGCAACATCTACCATTGGCTTCAAGGACCCCCCTTTTCACTGCACCATGACAAGGACAAATTGCACCACCGCCCCCTTTGACAAAAAGATCTTGGGGGCCTTAAGTTCCTGATGGTGGAGCTTCTTGTATGGTAGTGTAGGGAGGAAAAAGATGTGTGTGTGTGTGTGTGTGTGGGGGGGGGGGGGGGGGGGTTCTGGTGTGTTTGGTTGGAGCTGAGGTGAATGGACAATCACTAACTTGAACTTGTGTCCTTAAACCGCTTTAAAATTTTCCCAGGGAATAAGGGAACAGGGCAGGTTTGACCTGTTTTGTGTCAAAAGGATAAAGGGCCATACAGTAGAAGAAAAAAGTAGAACATCACAAAATACAAAATAAATATTTTTCAAGAGTTAACCATCATTAATATGATAATAAAGAACTTGGACTTTTAGGAAGTGTGCTTTTTCATATACTTACACGGCAAGCACAAACATTCACTGTTTTTTTTATTTTTGGGGTAGAGAGGCTGTTCTGGATCCTCTGTGGAGCCCAAAGGTGTTCAACTAAGCACGTTCACAAATTACATTAATATTATCTGGAAGCTCTAAACTCAGCAAGGCTGTTTATTGTTGGTAGAATTTGAACTTGTTAAGGTTCACCTTGAAACTCTTAATATTTTTAGAGGGTGGTTGACTGTTGTCATGTGAGTGACTTTTACAACCAATCCTTAGTTACGTCATCTTTCTTCATCCCTCAGAAACATGTTGCTTTGATGTCAGGCTGTAGCCCACATATACACTAAAGGCTCAAGCTTTACCCATCACAACCAATCTTAGCTGTACTGTAACACTGATCTAAAAGGGCTGTAATCATCTTGTACATCTCCCTGATTTGCTTGATGAGACTCAGCTGTGCATTTGGTGGCGTGAATACCGGGACTCAGAAAGCATGATCTGATAGTCAATACCAAAGTGCAATGCGACAGTGGACTTAATATAAAACTTTAAAATATATTCAAAAATGTCTTTTGATTCATCCCGTCTTTATAATACAAATCTGAGCTGAAAATCACGAAATAGATTTATTGCCAACAGCAGCAATGAAATGCAGCTGGTGATATGTGGACTATGTGGAAACCACTTTTACAATATTGCAGTTGGACCAGTATTCTGACAGGAGCTAGCTGTATTGTTGTTTCTCTTGTCCACAAAACCAGTTCAAGCAGCCATTGTGTTACAGTTTTCTTTGGCTCAGTCTGAGACACAGCATAACATGTCTCTCTCAGACAGCCTTCTAGCTCTCAAAACAAATAAAATGCTAATTGACACATGATGTCATCTTCCAGCAATGAACACCTTTTTTAGGTTTGTTAGTTTTGAAGCCTTATCTTGTATAAAAGTTGATAAACTCATGTATGATGGAACTAAATTCAGTAAAAAACAGTGGTGAACTATAAACAATTTAAATTGATTTTGTGTGATACAAACTTTGAATTAGTTCTTGTGCTGAGTTAACCCGTACAACACTGCTGTGGAGTAGTCAGTATACTTTCCCTCTCCCACTTCTCAGTTAATTCTCTTGATTCTGATTGGCAAATCTGGATGGTTTTAACCTGTGAATCATTATCTTTTGTAAGTAGAAGATTGACAAATTAACTTTAAATCTACATAGTAATGTTAGGTTATTTGCTAGTGGGGATTGGTGGTGAAGAAGTAGAGAAGGCGAGCCTGTGATTGGAAGGTCACCAGTTTGGCTCCCAAGACCGACAACATCAAAATATGGATGGGAAAGGTGAAACACCCACACCTGCCTCCACCCTCCATTGCCCCACTCTGGGTCCTTGAGCAAGGCCCTCAACTCCCAACCTGGCACCAAAGATGGCAGCTCTCTGCTCCACACAAGTGCTGTGGTAGCTCGGTGGCCTGTGGTTGCATCAGCAAGGGCATTCGGCGTAAAAACAATTGTCAAATATTTGTGAGAGTAAGTTTGCTGTGACGACCTCTGAAGAAGGAAGCAGCCGAAAGAAAAAGAAAAAAAAGGTTATTTGCTGTGATTGGAAATGGCTGCATTTTGGGTCTTTTCTTGTTTTTGTCCAGCTGCTGCCCCCGTGACTCGACTTCGGAATAAGCGGAAGATAATGGATGGATGAATGGATGGATGGATGGATGGATGGATGGTTGGATGGATGGATGGATGGAAGAATGAATCAGCACCTTAAACTCTGAGGCCATAGTCCTCAGTCAGAAAAGGGTGGATTGCTCTCTTCGGTTCGAGGGTGAGGCTCTGCCTCAAGTGGAGGAGTATCTTGGGGTTTTGTTCACGAGTGAGTGAAGACCGGAGCATGAGATTGACAAGACAGACTGATGCAGTGTCTGCAGTATTGTGGACTCTGTGCCAGTCCATTGAGGTAAAGAGGGAGCTGAGCTGTAAGGCCAACCTCTGTTTACTAGTCAGTCTGCGCTCCTACCCTCACATATGGCCTTAAACTCTGGGTCATGACTGAAAGAATGAGATCATGGATACAGGTGGTTGAAATGAGTTTACTCTGCAGGGTAGCTCAACTCTCCCTTAGACATAGGGTGAAAAATTGTTATCCAGGAGTGATTCGGAGTAGAACCGCTGCTCCTCCACATCAAGAGGAACCAGCTGAGGTGGTTCGGGCATCTGGTATGGATGCTCCATGGGCGCCTCCCTAGGGATGTGCTTCAGACATGTCTAAATGGGAGGAGACCCTAGGGGACACGCTGAAGAGACTATGTCTCTTGGTTGTCCCAGAAGAGCTGGAAGAGGTGGCTGTGGAAAAAGACGTCTTGGTGTCCCTGCTCAAACTGCTGCCCCCCAGCAACCCGACCAGAACAAGCAAAAGATAATGGATGGATGTTAAAGTCAGGTAGCAAAGGTTTTGCTTTATAATATGAACATGTACACTGACAAAAGTTACAGCAGAACATAACTGTTACATGTGGGTGATGTTGACTGCCCGCCTTTTGTGTAACATAATGTTAAATTTAGTACATTAACCACAAGATTTCCTAATAAGTTCTGATGTGGCTTCATGTTTATTGGACCTGAAATCTGAGCTGAGATCAGAAAGACGGGTAAAATAAACGTACGGTTGCAAACTCTTCATACCCTGGCATTTGAGCTTTTGGTTAAACAGGATTACCATTTAGAAATGTAATCACTTAAAACTGATGTACAAATTATTACAAGAAAAATATTGTAACCCTTTACTTATAAACCATTTTCTTTTTTAAATGCTTTAAATGTATTCATATTTAAATGTTTTTAAAATTAATTAATTAATGAGGATTAGTGGTTAGCACTGACGCGTCACAGCAAGAAGGTCCTGAGTTTGATCCCTGATTTGGACTTAAGGTCTTTCTGTATAGAGTTTGAATGTTCTCCTCATGGTTTGCCTGTTTTCTCCAGGTATTCTGGTTTCAGTCCACTGTTAAAAACAAGTATGTTAGGCTGCCTTCAGACCCAGGCCTCCTTTGCAGACAAGATCTGTAATCTCAATGGGATTTGCCTGGTTAAACAAAGATTATTTAATAATTTGGAGTTTCTTTCGTAGTTGTTTGATAATGTGTGCCCTGACTGTGTTTCCAAGGTTGGCTTTCTATTTTAGCCAAGCCATACAGTCATTAAAAATAAAACCTTGAACTCTTTAAGTCAAATCCTCAAACTGTACAGTGTGTAACCTTTGAAATGTAAGTAATCACAAGTCAAAAGTTGAAACCAAGTATGAAGTAAAAATTTATTGTGAGGTTTCTTAAAAATATGAATGTTTCAGAAGCCAAAGAATATAAAACGATAACTATGCTTTGAAAAGAACTGGTGTAAAGTATTGGTGACAAAGTGGGAGGCACAGTCAGCGGTGTGAGTGATGATATATGCTATAAACCAGTAATGAATCACTGTTTCCAAATCACCAACATAATTTAAATTAAACAGTTGCAGAATGAAAAATAAGAACAGGGTAATTGCCCGTGACCTAAACTGGAGAGCTATGAGTGACAGAACATACTTCCCCCACGTCACTTGCCAAAAGTCTTTTCACACCTCAGAACTCCAACTTCCACCAGATCTCCCCTATAAATTGTAACTAATCGCCTCTGCAGCCTATTTGTTGGCTGTACAGCAAAATTCCACTAATGTAAGGGTAGTGGCTGGGGAAGTCGTGCCAAAGAGACACATTTTTAAGACAATAAAAGCATTCTGCCATCCCCAACGGTCTTGTTGTCTGTGCGTAACTTCAAACAAGCGGACTCGCCCTGCATTTATATTAATTCCACACCTTCAAAACTTGTGTGTAAAACAAAAAGAAATATTGTTATTAATATTGTTTTTGTTCTTATACGGTAACGGTACTCATGGCTGAGGTGAAGAGAGAGTCTACTAACCTGCTGGCTCCTCTGTGCTGCTCACCACAGCTGTGGGGTTGATCATAGGGATTTCTGAAACACACAATACAAATTTACTCTACGGGTATGAACGTGAATCCATACCTTTTTAAATAAGCACAAAGTGATTTGGTTGCACGCCTGACAGAGCATTTGTGGTTACAGAAACACAGTATGTCCAAAGTCATAGATTCCAAAGAAGAGTTTTTTTTTTTTAATTTAACTAAATCCATATACCCACACAAATAAACCTTTTTGCATTCTGAAGAAGAAAAGTGTCGTTGGTAATAAAGGTTGTCAGACTCATCAGAGAACAGTGACATATGTTTGTCAACTGTATAAATGAAAACACATGGAGCTTTCTCAGATAAACTCTGACAGACCGACAAGAGCACTTACCGCTGGTGAGTGGGAGGACTATGCCTGCCATGAACTAACGAGGTGTGGTTTCAATGTGACTTTTAAGGGAAATATAATAATGATTTACATTTATCAGTCTAATTAATTAAATGCAGTTCAGATTTAACTGACGATTCAGCTGTTGGAAATAAATCCACTCAAAAATGCACGTACGTCTAAGTGAGAAGATTAAAACTGAAAAGTGGCAGCATTCGATTAGTCTCGTGACCGCTTAACAGATGCTGGATTAACACTTCTTTGTAATCTTCATGCAAGTATGTAGAGACAGATGGACAGATGGCAAGGGGGTAATTTTGTTTGGATTGTCTTGAGACAGATGCAGATTTCATGTGCTATGCCCGCTGGCTACACTAAAAAGTGCCTTGTGGAATACCACCAGGACTTCTGCTTTAATTTCATGCAACTTTCTAATACAAATCCTAATGCTAACATTGGGCCCTCAGCGTTTTAACCTAAATTGAATTTACTGGAATGCCAAGTTAGCATCCACCCAAAGGATCTGCTTTTGATTGAATTTGGAGGTTGAAGGTTTCAATCGACCCAGTGGGTGTGTGTTGGCAGGAGGGGAAGGGGCTTTCTTGGAAAGCATTTTTGAGGCAAATGTAGCAGTTGTCTCTCATAAAATTATGGACACCATGCCAGCGAAAACAAACAAGGTCATAGAGGATTTGGGAAGGCTGGCACAGCTGCTAGAAGCCACTATGAGTCGATGTGCCCTCACGGCCACATCTTGAGAAGATAGACAGATGATGAAAAGGATCGTTTAAATATGGACTGCTGCCATCATACTAATTGGCTGCTTAATGTGCTTATCTTCTGTCTTGGGGAAAATAAGCCTCAGGAGGATGTATTATAATTACCATGAGGCCATACTTGCACACACACAGTGGTCATTAACAGCATTTGTGTTCCTGAAAAGGTGTGCACACACTTTTCTTCTTCTTAGATCAGCTGCATTCAGATGTATGTGTGGTAGACCATCCATGTCCACAGTTATCCTTTCTTTTTTTTTTACCCATCGACCATCTGTTCCAGAGCTGTATGTGAGAAAACCAACATGGCACCATGTGGAATGGTCATCATAGTTGTGGCACTTGGTGGCATGGCATGATTAGGTTTTGTAGAGGCAACCAAGTGTAGTGGAGAGATTCCTTCTCTTATAAATGCTTGTATGTCATTAATTGATCATTGGTAAAAATGATAACCCACTAACCAAAAAGAGTGTCTTCACATTAGTTCTTCAGAGAATACTGTTTTTTCTATCATGGTGGTCTCAACAATAGAGCTCGTTTCTTAACAGTTTCATCCAAAGAATTAAGCACAAACCCAATGCAGTTGATCCTTGCTGAACATATGTGCTGTAGCTGTGTGTGCTTGTCTGCATTAATCACTCACTGATGCAGGGGGCCACAGGCGAGCGACTCTGCTGGTACCCCTTGGCACAGCGGTTGCAGGTAATACCGGTGACACCGTCCTTGCAGGGACATTGGCCTGTGGTCTGGTTGCACGTCTTGCCTGCTGCGCCCACCGGGTGGCAGTCACAGGCTGGAGGGGTGGGGGGAGGTAATGAGGACAGGTGTGAAGGGGGAGGGAAGGTGTTGATATAGGAGAGAAAGGAGACAAAATTTATGTTCAACCTGCTTGAACTCACTGCCACAAAGAGGTACAGTGTATGCTGAAATAGTTAACATTGCTGCTATTGCAATTTCTTAAATTTTAGTTAACAATAATTGATGAAACTCTGTCAGTTTTACAAATATTGAGCTAAAATTTGGTGTTCTAGTAGCTAAGAGTCATTTCCAAAACATACACATATGAGTGCTAATAGATCACATGACATCTTTGTTTAAAACTTTGACCTGTAAGGCAGTAGGCAACATGCATTCTTACAAAGAATGCTACTTTAATTTATGAATGGAAATCTACAAGGGACATGTCAAATAAAAATTACTTCCAGTGAGTGATGCCTTTAGGAAACCCAAACCTAATTATGTACACTCATCTCTTTTTTTCTGATCCATTTTAGTTTAGTTTTTCCCTAAACACTGTGTGCCTATCTGGTGACACACTGCTATTTCAACTCTTCCCGAAAGCTCAGTTAGTGTCCAGTAAATGCCAAAAGCAACAAGCAATGCACCGGTCACCTTACTTTGGCAATGCTTTTATGAAATTTGCAGATTCTAGACTATTTATTTAACCAGAATGGGTCTATTGTGGCATCAAAAAGCTGTTACACACAAGATCTGGGGTGTTGGTTTAAGGCCCTTTGACAGATATTTACATGAATGTGGAGAGGATGACAGGAAGTGGATGAGAGCCACGCAGAGAAATGAAGGAGTGGACGTGAGAGAGACAGGCCCAAACACAGACTCATAAACAACAGACAACTCCAGCTTTGCCAAAAAAGCATACATTTGTTCTCTAGGCAATAAACAAACTTACTGTTTCTCCACAACCCAGACACATTCATCAGTGTCATATAAAACAAAATTTAGGACTTTTACATCAACTTGATTGTTTTTCTGGAGAGGGATTCACTTTGAATCTTTGATCTGATGCAACAAATCTGTCCAAAACGATAAAATGTCAAAGGTATAATGAATAAAATACAAAGAAAAGCTTGGTCTTTCCCCTCAATGTCCAAGTAATTTCTTGGAAACTATGTTCAGACAAAAGCACCAATGTAAACTTGTCATTGTTCAAGTTTATCAAGAAAAAACATGATTACATTTTTTGGGAAAAACCCTGCAACCCGACAGTGACAAAAACAGCTTGAGTGAAGCAGCTGCAGACATGCCACAGTTTCCTCCCACCACCTGACAAAACTGTGAATGTGTTCATATGTGCTTCACATTTAATTTTTTAGTAGCAACAACAAAGCAGAGGACCATACCACCTGCTGACTGGGCAAGGGGAGCGTGGAAATGGTTGAAACTGACCCAAGAGTAAATCGTGTGTGTCTGGAGGCGAGGCGTGGAAAGATTATCTACAGCTCAGATCTTCAGAAACACTTGCCTATTCCGGAAAGGCTAATCTCTTCACAGGTGTGGAGGTGAACATAAATCTCATGCTTCAGGATTTGAGCTAAATCACCTTCTTCTGACACATACAGGCTTTGACAGAAGACCTAAGCTTTTAAAATCTGTTCCTATCCTCAAGGTATTATAGATACACATGTAGTGAACAGAACATGTGGTGGATATGAAACGTCTACGGACAAAGTAAAACGCCAGGTTTCTGTGAAGTAAAAGAACAAGACCGCGACAAATCCTTTCAAAACCTTTCACTCTTTTAACTGAGCAATTCAATTGTGTTGTGCAATGCAATGAATATTGTGAAAAATATAAATATATTAAAAAGATGCAAGAAGGTGGTTACAAGTGTGCGCATCCTCAAACGTTAAGCGCATTCTGATTTAACTTCAGGATTGAATTTTTTTTAGAAAGCAGTCTATCAAGAGTTTGCTATTTCCCCACTCCTTCTTCCAAAAGTGCTCAAAGTCTGTTGGATTGGAGGATAATTCTTGGACATAGTCATCTTCAGGTCACCCCACAGATTTTCAATCAAAGTTATGTCTAAACTCTGACAAGAAAAGTCCATAACTTTACTTTCCCACTTTTTTTGGATTCATTCATGGTCACTGTTATTTTGAAAAATGAAATTCACTTTCCTCTTCACCTTTTTAGCAATCATTTTAAGATTTAAGCTAAAAAAAAAAAAAAAAAGCCATTTGGAATTTCCTTCCCTCTTTTTACTATGATTTAAACCCAAGTTTCAGCTAAAAAAAAAAAATACAATAAGCAAACCAATAGCATGATGCTGCTAAGCTTATTGTTTAATTTATTTTTTTACATTCTCTCCCAACTGTTTTTTTTTTTTCACTTGTTGAATTCTGTCACAGTAAAGGTGAAAAATATTGCACATGATTTATCATAGTTTCATTTATTTACCACAAAACCCTGGTATTTTACAAAGGATAAGGTTAATGAGTCCAACAGCCACAATGTCCACGAACTATGAAGACAATATCTCAGTCCTCCAGCTTGTCTTTCATAACAAACCCTGTTGATTAGTGTTAAAAACCCTTCTAAATAAGCGGTGAACCCTTTTTTCAATGTTAAGTTGATAATTCATAACTGCAGTGAGACTGTTTAAAAGGTAAACATTAAATTGTAATTAAAATAATGAAGAAAAAAAGATTTTGGCTTTGTTTCATCTCTTTTGAAATGATGAGTTTGAGGCACATGTGGGATATATCCGTGTTATTTGATCCTGTCAGATACTCCAATGCTGTTGGTCCATCATGCCTGCTGAGGCGTGTGGCTAAACACTGACAGCCCGTTGTTTCTGCGCCGATCGCTGAACAGCACCGAGGAACCGACCGGGTCAGCATAAACAAGATCTGAGTTATGTTAGACATTCTCACTTCTCTTCTAAACAGACACTGGAGGTTAAAGCTTCAGAGTTTTCTGTCAGTGTTCACGTTGGTCGGTTGACGAGCCAACCACTGCCAGATATGCTTGGGTTTTGAGGGGGCAGGAGGGAAACGGGGAGGGGGATGGTTGGTGGTGTCACTCTCCAGACAAAGCTTTCTACCTCACACTGTTTGTCTGAAGTTTTATGTGCAAGGGGCTAGAGCCAGTTAAGAAGCTGTAAAAATGTCTTCCGATGTTGATGGCTTTTCAAGCCTGTGTGACTGCAGAGGTGACAGGCACCAGGGCCGTGGGTGTTGTAGTCCTTCACTAGGGCTTTGCACAAAATATACCTGGGACTTTCCAGCATTTAGGTCAACACATATTGTGCTTGTGAAGATGGTTACATTGAAACAAATGGTGTAGGTTCAGCTAAAAGCAATTCTTTCTAAAGGAATTTTAAGGTCACCCTGAAGAAAAATAAACCGAGGCGACAAACAGTTAATTATTTTTTGTTGAAATACTTGTTCAAGATAAAAAAAACAAGCTCAGGAAAAATGAGCTTGACTGTTTTTCTGCTCACTTCATCAGAGGAAGGAACTCTGATTTTTCTGTCACTGAAAGTCAGGCTTTAATGTAATTATCTGTGCCTGTTTGTCTGATTATTTGCTTGTCTGTTAGCAAAATATCTTGTGAACCAGGAAATGGATCTTAACGAAACTCTTAGAAATTAAATATCGAGTCAATTGAATTGATGCAAGATGGCTGCCACTGCTAATCAGCCTTAGCGATATATACTGTATATGCATATATATCTTTCTAGGTTAAAAACTTTGACGTTAACTATTTGAGTCAATCCTGTCTGTTAGCAAAATATCTCATGAACCACTGGATAGATTTGAATGAAATTCAGTAACCAGTGGATGTAAATCTACAACCTGTTGGAGTTAACCTGATTTTAAATGGCTGCCACAGCTAGTTAATATTAGCAAACACAAAAAGAGTTATAGTTCAGTCAGTTTGGCTGATATTGAGCTCAAATCTGTTCTGACAGTAGCTCAGAGTCACATACTTGAGTGTTAACGGATCACACTTGATGTTTGTGTAAAACTTTATAACACAAGGTAGTGGGCAACATGCACTGCTTCCATGAATGCTACTTTAATACTATTTTTCTACTGTAAAACTCATACTGTGGACTTAATAGCCAGCAGTGAAGATGCTATTTACAGGTTGTATGAAACTATTCTGCATCCAGTTTATTTAAAGCATCCCGCACTTATATTCACATTGTGTTTATGTGCTAAAAGTGGGATAATGTCCTATTAAAACTTATTCTGAAGTATAAAGTTATTAGTTATTAGTTATTAGTCAGATCATCTGGACGTCTTTTTAAAAAAAAATTAAAAAAGCTTCATCCTTCATCCAAAGGACTTCTTCAGTCCGAGGAGCCACAAACAAACTCATTTCCACAAGCGGCACACTTACATAGTGGACCAACCAGTTTGCTGGTGGTAAGATGGTTTCTAACACCCCCCACCACCACCACCAACACCACCACCATCAACTCCTCTTTGGCAGCCATGATGAAAAACGAAACATCTCAAAAAAAAAAAAAAAAAGAAAGAAAGAAAAGAAAAGAAACCATCCCGATGACATGATTTAACTTTGTTGGCTTTTTAACCTGGATTATTGAGCATGAACTTTGATGTTTTGAACCACTTTAACTGGATGGTCCACTATGTGAGTGTGCTGCTTGTGGGGCTGAGTTTGTTGTGGCTCCTCGGACTGATGAAGTCCTTTGGATGAAGGACGAAATGTCTCAACAACAACAACAGAAAAGAAACCGTCCACATGACCTGACTGAACTTTGTTGGATTTTTTTTACCTGAAACTCTGGTATAAATTTATTAGTTGATTTATTTATTTATTTTCATTTACCCTTTATTTATACAGGTAGACTCGTTCAGTCACGAGAATTCATTTTCAAGAGAGACCTGTTTTGAGGAGCAGATGGTGCGGGTTAAGGGCTTTGTTCAGGGGCCCAGAGTGGGGCAAGTGAGGGTGGAGGCAGGTGTGGGTGTTTCACCTTTTCCACCCACATTTTGAAGTTTGTCATTCCAGGGAGTTGAACCTGCAACTTTTCAATCACAGGTCCATCTTCTCTAACCTCTGCGCCACCACTCCCCTTTATTTATATAAGACATAAAACATCTGAAGACCTCTGCACCACTGATAATTTGTTTTTTGATTTATATCTTTATTCTTGTCATTTAGACTTTAACCTTGAAACATATTTCCACTTAATTCTTACCTTTTCGATCATCTTGACACAAGGACTTTATTCTGTAAAAAAATGTAAATTTTCTCAATAAATTAAAATGGACACTGGATAGGCACTACGGTTTTTGTCTCTGATTAAAGTTTAGACATTTTTATTTTGCGCAGTGAGACAATTACAGCCTATGTGACATTGAGAGTCCTTCGGGGAAACACAGGAAATCTCCAGATTAACTTGAACCAATTTATCTACATTGCACAAGTAAGACACTGCGTGTGTGTTTTGAATTTTGACACACTCCTCAGCATGTTTTTAGACACCTTCCAGTCTAAGATTGATTAGAAACAGGCACAGGCCATTTATTCTCTCGGCGTCTGCATCGCCCCCACACATCCCCCTCTTTTTGTTCCCTTGGAAAACACCTGCATTTTATTGTCCATTTCCAGCATGACGCTCACTCTCTCTGGTCAAACTGACTTCAATCATGATCTTGGAAACGTGAGTCAATAAAACAGAAAAGGGCAAGAGTTTAAGGATAAAATGAAAACGTGAGAGGGGAAAAACAAAGGTGCTAAAACGTTTGACGTGAGTCATGGTGAAAAAAGCCAGAAGTCCCGGGGTTTGTTAGGTTATGAAACATATGTGGAGACAGAGATATAGAAAAAGAGCGGACACAAGACCGTAGAAATGTTCAGAGCCATGTCTGAGTCACTGCCCGGATGAAGCGTTTCTGTCTGGCATTAATGAAGAAAAGTGTAAAACCAATCTGACACAATCTGTGCGATTTTACAGGAACGTATTGTAGCATCAAGCATGGGTTTTACACAAGATGCTGCTAGAAATAGAAGATGAGATGACATGCAGCAGATCACATATGTCTTTGCCATAAAGCTTGTTGGTCACTCTCAAAGGTAAAAAGACAATGCTTTTACTTGTGCATCATGTTGATAACATATATCATGAACCACCAGATGGATTTAAATAAAACCCATTGTCAGCACATCATCAAATAATCATGAATCTGCTCAATTTAAGATGTGTGCGACAGCTAATTAATTGTAAAAACACAAAAATGGCCACAGCTCCTTTAATTTCATAGATTTTGAACTAAAGTTTGGCATGTCAGTAGTTGAAACTCATCTCTAACAAGAGCCGACTGATTTTTTTTTCCCTGATGAAGTCTTTTGGATGAAAGATGAAACATTTCAACAAAAATAATCTGTCCAGAGGACCTGATTAAGCTTTGGATTTTTCTACTTGGATTATTGAGCATGAATCAGAATAGTAATTGAATGTGTTTTTGCTACTGGTTAACTTTTGGAGTTGAAGCAATTCAAGATGACCACTACAGCTGATCGACATTAACCATCGCAAACATGGCTCTGCCTCAGTCAGTATTATAATTGGAGCCAACAGTTTAATGGGTAGTAGCCAGGAGTCCTTCACAAAACACTGACATCTGACGTGGTTTGACCAAATTGGCTAGAACTCCATGTCTCAACAAATTTAACGGTATAATAGTACATTAGTCCCTCACTACTTCGCGGTTTGCTTTTCGTGGACTCGCTCTATTGCGGTTTTTCAAGATAAGATTGGACATGACACACAATTGGCTGACTGATGGATGAGTCGCACGATCGGCATGGAATTTTTATTTAAAATAAATTATTTTAAACGATTTAACACCTGTATGCAGCCCACAGCTTTGGGAGACTATTCCTCCTGCAGCTGATCAGCTGATCTCTATGCAGAGTGGAGAAGTGGGCGTGGCCAGAGTGCAGCCAGAGGCAGAGAGCTGAAATCATGACATGATGTGCTCTTTTTGAGCGATTAGAGATTAAAACCATTGTTTAGAATAGTGCAAGAGTGTGGGAAGGGGTTAAAACACCTTTATACACACATATACATATATATGTGAGTGTGTGTGTATACTAAAATAAACTACTACTTACTACTTGTACTACTATCCCTATTTCATGGTTTTTCACTTATCGTGGGGCTTTAGGGTATGGATCCCCTGCGATAAACGAGGGATTACTTTGGTTAAGATTTATCCACAAAACGTACTCTGAGTGCTAACCACTCTTGATAGAGCTCTAAATCTCACTTTAATTTATGCACAGCAAATTTTAAAGGGTTGACCAAAACTGATAGCAATAATAAAAAAGTTGATCTTTTGAAACTGTGGCACTAAATGATATATATTCCTTCAAAGAAAGCTAATTTTTTTTAAATTCTTTTAACACTTTACTGCACCAATAGATCCAGTGTATTAGTTGCCGGGAAGCTTTTGCCATTAGAAGATGGATGAAACCTCATTGCTGTTAATACGGATAAGTGTGGCCTGATATCATACCCGACCTAACCTCCCAGGGTTGGGTTACAGTTTGTGTTGGTCCTAGAAGAAAAACTGAACAGAAGCCAGAAACAGAGGCTCGCTGTGAAATTCCAGCTGAAAGACCTGAACAGCTACAGTGTGTGAGTTGGCAGCTCTCACCGAAGCTGTTTCTAATACGTTCCTTTACCTTAACGGGGATCAGCTGGGTGAAAAACACTCTTCTTCTGCTATTTATTTACTTTTCCTCCCTGAGCCACAAGTATAGGAGAGCGGTGTTATTTTTGTAATGCCTCCACTAGAATATTTGGCTTAAAAATATTCACTGTAAATGTAAAACAATAAGATACATTTTTTTTTTAAATTTCCATGAAAGATGTCTTGGTGAAAAGATACTACTATGGGGTATGGGGGAGAAACATTTGATGGAACAGCCAGAAAAGTTTCTGGCGTAGTATCGATTTAACTCCCACCGCTTTGCTATGCCAAAACAGACAGGCCGTTAATTTCTCCTTTTATTGAAAGTTAACATAACGGCAAAGGTTTTCTATTAAAACTCACTGTCTTTTTTTTTTTATTATTTCACTTTTTCAGTGCTGGCATGATTATAGGAGCATTAACAAGGTTTTAGTGTTTAGAGCACTGCACAAAACTGAGCTTCTATCTGGGCCATTTTCAAAGAATCAGATCCAAAAGCTCGTATAGTTTGTGTTACCTTTGCAGGCTCGTCTGTGAGTGATCGGCTGAGCCATGTCTCTGTAAAAGCCCTCCTTGCAGTAGTGACAATGACGCCCAGCTGTGTTGTGGCGGCAGTTCATGCAGACTCCTCCGCTTTTCCTCCCCGACAGCTTGTACAACTCCATGTTGAATCGACAGCGACGGGCGTGCAGGTTGCAGTTGCATGCTGCGGACAGAGACCAAAGACGTTTTTGATTACTGACATTCACTAAAGCTGAATAAAAATGCAGAATGCAAGTGAGCCCACAACAATTTTCCTTTGCGGCGCAGTAAAGCACATGCTTCCTGCGATGTGTATCACAGGAGAGCAGGGAGAGATTTTCCAGTAAAGCAGGATAATGGTGAGCAGTTTATAATCTGCGTGCTCCGCTGCCGTTCCACAGATCATCAATCAAAACTTCTATTTGCAGACCTCATTTTAGCTATTTTATAATTAATAAATCCAGCTTTTTTCAGCCCATTAGATATTAATCTCTTGCAAGAGAGACATTAATTTCACGAATCACTGATGAGAAAGACTTAGATCTATTAAAAGATAAAGGAGTGGGCTCCAGCTAAAAGTCTTCTTAATGAGGCGAGCGGACTATATGAGACATGTGACTGGGGGCTTGTGGTGCCCCCAATTACATTTCAAACACAAGTGGTTTCTTGATGTCACCTTGGCCTGAACGTCTTCCCATTGAATCTTCTGAATTCACTAGCTCTGATATTATTAATAGACTGGGATTGCAGGTTTGCGTTGACGCTGTCAATGTGAAACCACTCTTGGTTGCGTGAAAGAGCTTGATCCAGACGGGCGAGCTGGGTGAATCAGAGTCGGTACTGGGACATGACATTTGGCCACGTCTTCAAAGACAACCACTGCAGAGCTTGGCTTGAGCTCTTGAGCTTGGAGTTATCCAGATAAATTGGAAAGTAGTAAACAACGGATGAGTCGACAAGCAAAAATGAAAACAACTGAGGCAGAGGTGGAATACAAGGTGAGCTCAAACAAAGCTGCTATTAGTTAACTTAAGTTTGAAGGGAGAGTGTCAGGGGAAATAAATTTCAGTAACGGGGAATGTTGAAAATTGAATAAGACACAACAGAGAGGGATAAGTGAAGGCAGACTGTACCTGCAGGCTTTAAAAGATGTCTGCGGCTTTCTGTTCAAAACTGTGACTAGAGAAACTAAAACTGAAAGAACTGAGATTTTTTTGGGCCTTTTAGTCTTTCACTCATCAGATAAACAGTTTGTAATTTTAAATCGCAGTCAAACATTTACGATGCGATATTTTATAAAGTCCAACAAAGTTCAGTCAGGTCATCTGGACGGTTTCTTTCTTTTTTGTTTTTGTTGAGACGTTTCGTCCTTCATCCAAAGGACTTCATCAGTCCGAGGAGCCACCAACAAACTCAGTGCTACAAGCAGCACATTCATAAAGTGGGCCAACCAGTTTGGTGGTGATAAGATGGTTTCTGGAGCCCGCCCTCTCCCTCATCGACTCCTCTGAGGCAGCCATAACCAAAGTGGTTCAAAACATCAAAGCTCATGCTCAAAAATCCAGGTAAAAAAATAATCCAACAAAGTTCAGTCAGGTCATCTGGACGTTTTTTTTTTTTGTCTTATTACCATCACAGCAAACTGGTTGGTCCACTATGTGAGTGTGCTGCTTGTGGGAATGAGTTTGTTTTGGTTCCTCGGACTGACAAAGTCCTTTGGATCAAGGACAAAATGTCTCAACAAAAAATAAAGAAACCATCCAGATGTCCTGACTGGAATTTGTTGGATTTTTTAACTGGCTAATTGAGCATGAACTTTGATATTTTATAACGTGTTTATTTTTCTTTTTGATGCTAAGATGTTCATCAGATATCCATCCATCCATCCATCCATCCATCCATCCATCGTACCAAATTACACAATTTTCTCCCTGACACTCCCCCTAGCTGTTCTCTTGTTTGCCTGAAATTTCACCTTTTACTATTTATAAGGAGAAATCTCTGCCTTGATTTATTTTATTTTGTTTTATCCGTTATATTGGAACTGAACAATGCTGGGTTTTTTTTAACTCAGCAACACAACAAGTACCTAAGTTTTTTCTGCATTGCACAACATTTTTATACTATTGTACTTCAGTACAGTACTACTAATCTTTAACTTTTCACATCTTAGTAACCTTTTCTATTTTTTTTTTTTTTTTACAGAAACTTATACTGAGAATTTTACCAAATTTCATGGCAACCAAAACAAACAAACTAAAAAACAAAGCTAAACTCAGATTTCATTTATTTGGTTAGATTTTACATCAGTTCCAACATCCCTCTCCAGAGGTGCATCAAGTGCAGCATCACTGCAGCAGTCAGGTGTTGGGGCCGATCTTGAATGTCTGTATTTAAAAGCACTGACAATATATCTTTGGTAAAATCCAAACAACGAACAATATACACAACCATTCCCACTTTAAGTACAACCTGGCACCTGGTTGGAAAAGAGGCCCACTTTTCCGTATTGTAGACTCTGGAAATAAAAAAAAAGTTGGGGGTAAGGGGCACATTCCCAGACTGTTTCGCCTATTCCGTCTGGTTATTACATGGTCCAATTTGTATGGAATTTTGTTAATAATGAAGATCTGTTTTATGTATAAATTCATATCAAGGCAGCACTGTTTGTGTAGCGACACAGCTGGATTTCTTTGTTCCGAACATCAGAACTGACCCCTGACCCCAGAGAACAGTGCACAGTAGATGTGTGGGTGCTGTACACTGAAATAATATATTCAATCTGAGTTCAAAGCATCAAATCTTCAGCGTGTTCTTATGAAGAGAGATAATTTAATGAGCAAAACACAATCTCGGCCACACATTAGCAATTTAATTAATTCAACATCTGTGCATATTTGTGTGAATGCACGTGAACAACTCAAGCAGCCTGTCGGACTTCCTCTAGAAGAACTTTGACAAAGAGCACACCAGCTACGATGCATTTCCAAAATTATGCATGTCAGGGACTGTGGTCATGATCAAGCATCTCAAGCGCACACACAGCTGTGAGCAGTTGTGTCCATTAACACCTTGTAGGGGGAAACATGAAAGCTGTGGATCACATTTTCTCCGCAGCTGAAGAAGCGGCGGCTGCCTACTCATGGCAACTTCTCTGCTTACAGTGACATCCGTCGGCAAAGTCTGCATTTAGAATGGCTACGTACATGTGTGGAGAATGTAAAGAAAGCTCCAAGAAATCAACCTTTTTAAATGATTTAGCATGTGTAGCTGTGATGGCTTTAACAGCTAGATCATTTGCGATAGACAAAGAATCAGAGTGTTGGTGTCACGTATAAAAAAGCAGCTTTGTATCAGTGGAAAAAGAGAAAATGTGAAAGTTGCAGAACAAAAAACAGTCGAAAGAAGCATCATTAAAGAAGAACGGTCACAGCAAAAGGTGTGTCTGGCTTTCAGTTTTCTCCCCCATGTGTGATTAGCTCCAGCTCAGAGCTCCAGATGCTTAAAGAGCCTGGAATGTTTATGGGTTTGTTTTGAAGTGTTTGTGTGCACACATGCTGACCCCCCTCCCATCAACCTGCCCAGCTCCAAACTCAACCAAATTAGACTAAGTGGGGGATAACTATCCACTGCTTAAAGCCATTTTTCCTCAGATATTTAACGCATTAAAACCTCACCAAGTCTTGAATGAATGGAAAGGATTTCTTGAGTTAAGTCAGCAGAGACTCCCTGATCTTCAAGGGAGCGCAGTTACTTCATGGTTTAGAGTCCAGTTCAAAGATGCATAAAGCTGGTTTCTCACGTTGTCGTGGAAATCGGACAACAAACACCAGCTACAGACTTGGCAAACAGAGGGATGCTGAAACAAAAATAAAGGAGGGGATGAAGGAAGAGAAACTTCTTGGAAAATATTAGGAAAACCTGTTATACAACCTTGTCATCAAACCGACATTGCCAAAGTCATTTTGGGTGGAAAAGCTTTGTTTTTCCTGAATTTGCATGCAACTTATCAGTTTTCTGTTTCAAAGCTTCTTTTTTTTAGGCACACAAAATATTTCAAGAAGGGTAAATGTGGAGTAGAACATTACCTCTTTCTATTTTCTCCAACAGGTGCCTCTGAAAGAGCTCCCTGGCTGATCTAAGTGTGCTTTGACAAATTGACCCTTAAATATCATTTTCAACAAATAAAACACAAGCGTGCTTGAGAAGTGAATTGCTCCCCCCCCCCCCCCCCCCCCCACCCCGTGTGTCGGGATAAATCTAACCTCCGTCCTCCTCCAGCTTGAACAAAGCCAAACTGGTAAGCAAAGCCAATTGATTCTGGATGCCTGTGCAAAACCCAAATCCCATGTCTAAAATTGGTCCTTGAAAATTGGAGGGCTCATACCACCACCTTTTCCCTCTTGGCTTGGGCTGCAGTCCAGACATGCTGCTGCCCCCCTTGGGTGCTCTCTGAGCCTGGCCAAACAGGCTCTGCTACAGTATGTGGGCTCCTGCCATCATGTGTGTGTGTCTGAGGGGGGGTGTTTGGGCTGGGTTCCACCTGGCTACTCCAGCCACCTGCTCAGAGCACCAAGGGGAGCACCCGGTTAATTAGCTCCTCATTATAGCCAAAGCAGACTAGAGAGAAACCACACACACACACACACACACACACATGCACATTCATGCACCCATCAGGGATCTCCTCAAGAAGGACTTCAGTAAGTGACTGAGGGCACAAAAAGGGTAAACAGACTCTGAAAAGCATGTAAGCTCTGCTGGTTCTGTTAGCTCTAATTAGCTGAAGACAACAAGCAGAGACAAAAATCTAAGAAGTCCAAGAAGCGATCCAACACAGAACTAGACCTGCCGAGTGTGTTTGGACTGCCTCTTTGTACCAAAACCACTTCAGGTCACTTATCTGCCACACACAAACATCTTTGGCTTATAGCTCTTCTAGCTTTGACACTACCATCAAGCGTCCCCTTACCCCCCCTTGTGCTTTTTACTACTTTTTGTGGTTAGCCTCACACTAGGCTTAAGAGCATGGCTCTTGTGAGCCCCTTTCAACCAAATGTTCCTGTAGGTTCTATAGCCCCGCTATAAGCTGTCTCCCCCTGCTCTCCTCTTACTTTCATAAACCCATCATAATTTGTTGCTCTTTGATGCTTCATCTACTCTGATCTCATCAATATGTTCCTC